AAATGTATGGGTCCGAACGAAGGTCTTCTGGTGCGATTAAGCCTCCGCGTCCTTCATAGAAGTTGTAGAAGATCGAACAAGTTTTCCAATGGAGGTCGAATCAAGTCAATCCGGTCAGATTTTCAAAAGATACGACTGTTTCATCTACACTCCCCGCAACCAGAACGTTGTATCGAGCAGCATATCGATCAAGACCTCCTTCCTCTTGCTCGATATGCATTAACCCGAGGACCAAAGTTGACCATCTTTGACTCCTTTATTTTTGTTTTCTAAAGTTATTTTAGGTATGTTCCTTATAAATAACTAACCCTAGATTCAATCTCACTTATCATTTCTCTTCTCCAAAGCTTTGCTTTGGTTTTTCATAGAACAAAAACAAACTCTTTGTGGGTTGAGACTGGATCACATGTATATACTTTTATTTTAAGGTTTCTTATTTTAGTCTTTAATCTCTTAGTCATGCTTTCTTATTTTGCTTTAGTAATTCGAATTTCTGCTCTTGAGTTTTGAGATTCTTGGTTTTTGAAGAACAAAAGTGTTTCCAATGATTGTTTAACGTGTTAGAATGTTGGATCTTTGATTATCTATTCTTATGTGACTGTTCTTAATGCTTAGTACCTCTTTGTAGGATAAGTAGTACCTAGGCTTTCTAGTATTGCACTTAGGGTGTTTGCTGAAATGCTTGAAAGAAGTTATGGTTGATGTCATGTCTTGCATAGCTTGAGCTTAAATACTTAACACCACATTGGTGGAAAATTGTCCTTTAGGCATTGATTATGCATGGGAGTGTAAGTTAATGTTAGTTCTATTGCACAAGAGATTAGTAAACCTAGCATAGGAAACTAGATGTCTAGCATGATTTTTGGCTCTATTGACTTTGACCTTCATGCTTGATGATCATGTGTTTGAGTAAAGGGATTTATCTTGAATATGTGATTAGATAAGAGATTAGTACTGAGGAATTAGGCTAGTCTATATCAGTAGTCCTTGCCTAGAGATTACTGCATTGATTGTTTCTTTCACCTTGATCATGATTTATATTCACCTCGTTATTCATTAGTCTTGAATCTCTGTTTTCTAGTTTGCATTTCTTGCTTTAGGTTGTTAGATTAAATTTCCCTTCTCTTGATTAGGCCTAGCTTAGCAAGTATTCTGCATCTTGATTGTTCTTTAGCCTCTGGATTGGATTGACACCTCAAGTACTACAATGACATGTGTGTTTGAGGATTGAGTTAAGGTTAAAAACTTCAACATCAATGATCTGCGTTTTAAATTTGCTAATGAATGTAAAAGGAAAAGGGGAATTTGAATTTGCATCTAGCTGAAGCATAGTTTTTCATCGTTTTTGAGATGGGTATGGCTAAGGCCTTTTTGATTAGGGAAGATCCAATTTGCATTTTACTAGTGTTGACTTAGACGTTTAATTGATTTCTCACTCAATTGCATCTTTGACTTGAAATTACACCTTTGCTTTCAAACCTCACCCCTTTGATTGGCTTTAGCTTGAGAACAAGTTAAAAGGCAAGTTTGGGGGTGTTGATATCTCTTATATTCACATCATTTTTCTGGTATTCTCATGATAGTTAAGCTAGGGTTATGATACAAGAGTTTTTGGGCTCTTGGTCAATCACCCAAGCTTGTACTAATCAGTTGTAGTACAGCATAGGATTTTTATCAATCCAAAGGAGTTATGAATAGATGCCAATAGAATTGTGAGCAGAAAGCTTTAATTCAGGTGGAATCAAGCAAGTTTGTTGTTTACACAACTAAAACTATCAATCTAAGTGATCAAGCACCAAACAGAACTCAAAAGAGAACAACTTAGCAATGATCAAAAGTAAAACAGAGCAAATAGCAAAATTCGAAATTTAAATAAGAGAAAACAAGTTCCTAGATGTGGCTATCGACTTCGAAGAATTCAAAGGCGAGACTTAGGCTGTTCTAAACATTATTGACAATGCAAACAAGCATTCAATGCTAATTCCTAGACATAGAGTTCACAATCAAGCAAGTTAAGTCCAATCTCTTGATAAATAACCCTTTGCTAATCATCCTAAGAAGAACTAACTCTCATTAGTGCTAGAACAATCAACAAGCATGCAAAAACAACTCTATTCAAGTCAAAATACTCCTAAAATAGTCAATCTCTTGAGCTAAGGCCAATAAATCCTCAATTAAACAAGATCAGCATTTCATCAAACACTTGTTGGGCAAAAGATGAAGCCTAAATCTAGATATATGTGATCAAGACAAATCTAGCTTAAAAACAGATTAATAGAGAAGAATAAACCTAATTAAGCACTAACAAACCCTAATCAAACCTCTAAATTCTCCTAATCTATCACATCTAAGAACCCTAAAAGATCTACTCAATCATCATCATAGAAAACACCAAATCACAAGAGTAAATGATGCTAAACATGATTAAGAGGGAGATTAGAGAAGAAATTAAAAGGAAAATACAAAAATTTGATTACAAATGATAGACTTGTTCTTACAAAGACTGAAAAACTCTTAAAACTAAGCAAGAACAAGACTTGATGCTAAAAACATTAGATCAAGCCTATTTATGGTAAATGACAAAAGCCCTAAAATAATGGCAAAGTTGTAAATAAAAAAAGTTCGGACTGGCTTACATCGGTCACAAGTGACCGATGTGGATGACCGATGCTCCTCTCGGGTGCTTTACATCGGTCAGCTGATGACCGATGTGAATCTTCGGACTCTCGGCTAGATCCCCTCGGTCAGTCTTGACCGATGCTCTTGACCGATGCAGATGTCCTGTCTATTCTCATCGGTCACAAGTGACCGATGCAGATGACCGATGGGATTCACCAGCTTCTCTGTTGCTTTACATCGGTCACCATTGACTGATGTGCTTCGTGCCATGACTGATGTTGCACCAGAAATTGCCTTCCTTAGCTCCTTGTGCTCCTTCTCAGCTTGGCTAACTCCTTGAACCATTCCCACACTTCCTTCTTGCTCCCAATAGCTTCTTAAGTACCTAAAAACATCTTTAATGCATAGAGAATGCAAACTACAACCTAAATGCAACCTAAGTCTAAAAGGAAAGGAAAATAGGACTACAGAGAAGGAAAACATGCAAAAGGAGACCAAAAACAGGAACTAAATGCAAGCTTATATGATGCAATTGTATGAGATATCAGGTTATTGCATTTAGGTCCCAGTTTATGCTTTGTTTCCATTCATGTAAGTCTAGGATGCATTAGTTAGGATTTTTGCATTGGTATTGCATGTTTGGAGCTCTTCTCATTTACTTTAACTATCACGGAGGTCAGGCGAAGGAAACCAAGGCACTCGGAGATAAAGAAGGATGACCAAAGGGGAAGCAGACGATGTCTTGCATCGCACCGGGAGGCAACCATGAACAAAGGATGTGACAAGCAGCATGAGGTTTTCACTACGACTACGTACATCGGGATGAAGCCGATATATGAACCGAAGTAGATGTGTCTCGCAATACACCGGGCAAATGTTTTGGCAACAGCACAATACAGACGACATGATCCGTACCACGACGTCAGCAACTCGCCACGAGCTACCTCAGCGGGATGAAATCGTTAATCCGCAAGTGGTCCCGCAAGCATGCTAGGGCGACCTCCCTTCTCTCTTTCCCTATAAATACTCCCAACCATTCATTTTGTCTCCCATACGAAATACATTAGTCATTTTCGCATTTTGTCTTTTACCTACCAAACTATTTCTTCTTTGTTTTGTATTTTCGCAATTGTTGGGATTATAAAACCGTAAGTTTAAATCAAGTTTTTTTTAAGTATTTTCCTGAGTAATAGTTAGATCTTTACTTTCTTGTTCTTTCTTCTCACGGTTTGACAAGAATGAGATCTTTCACCCTCATGGGTTATAAGACTCTTTCTATGGCGTGTGAGTAGTCACCTCGCGGGGTTTAGTGAGTTTACTTAAGGATATAGGGGTTCCGGGTCTTTTATTTTCCTATCATGCACTTTAATTTTGATTTCTCCTTGCTGGTTATGTTTAATGCTTAGTTTAGCCCGATCAACTAGATTAAATGCTCTCAAATGGCTTGACACGAACACCACGTGCTTGCTTAGCCAGAACCACCTTCAAGGGTAATGATCGACCCACCCTAAGAAATTAGTTGTGTGGGAAGTGTTACGGTTCTATGGGGATGGTGTCTCAGTCTCGTCTGATTCATTGTACCACGTTGCGAGAGCTCGTCTATGGTGGTGGATCTTACAAAGGACCTAGACCCGAACATCATGGGCTAGGTAACATGTAAAGACTCCCCTTACCTAGAAGTCACCATCAAAAGACCAAGTCTATATGTGACCGAGTGATAATGGCAATACACTTAATCTAATGACCGAACCCCTAATCCGTCTAACCCACTATAACCATTCACTTAATTTTATTAATCTCAGCTAATCTTATTCGCTTTACTTATTGCAATCTATATTCTTCTTTACATTCAGCTTACTTTTATTGCTCTTTACCGTTTTAAGCTCATGGCTTGAGTGACACAAGTCATTTCTGATTTTGCTTGGTGTGTAAAAACCCAACTCTCATTAAACCGAACTTGACTTAAGAACTCTCACCTTAAATCTTAGTGAGCCTCACAACATCCAAACTGGATTGATATCTTAAGTCCTATACTACAAACGGTTATACTTGGGTTTAAGATTTGCTTAGCTAGTTACCAAATAAACCTAGTTACCAATCAATAAAACTCCTCATTGGTTTACTTAAAATTTTGCCTATCAAAATTGATAATTATTATCAAACTATTTTATTTAATTTTGCCAATTTTACTATTTACCTGAGTTGATTCTAAAAGAATTTATTATTTTTTTGGATCAACATACTTATTTTATAAATCGCTTATTCTCGAAACATGGAGAAAATGTTTACAAAACTTGATAACAAAACCAAACCGGCAAAGATAACAAGAGCAAATTGAAGAACAAACATAAAGATAGAAGCAAACATAACACTTAAAACACTAGAGACATGGAGAAGTCCTCTAAACTCAACGCCAATAATGCTAAAAGGTGAGATGAAGCTATGGAATTAAAGAGCATAGCTAGAGCCGCTGCAACACAAAGTGCAGGGAAGAGATAAACATTAGTGGAAAAAAAGAGAGCAACAAGGCCTCACACAACCTGTGAAATGCCTGATATCTTGTTCAAAATCGATACCAACAAAAGGAAAATAATTAGGACATCTGAGTCCGAAAAAACTTGCAGCAAGGTGAAACCTGCAGAGAATACATCCTTGAGCTGTTGCAGAGATGATACAAAGTCTTCATTGGGCTTGGACCTTCACGGGGTTTGGACCGAAACAAGGTGAGGTCCCAAAAGCTTTCAGCAAAATGACATTGAAGAAGGTCTCTGAAATTTTTTCTCCAAATGGCCAAAACTCTTACATATTTCATACTCTGCGAAATAACTTTTCTCATAAAAAGAAAGATGGACTATCTCCTAGAAGATTAAATATGATAATAGATTTCTAAACACAGCGAAAACAAATGATATAAAAGATTGTAAAATATCATCACTTCTAAAAGCTTTATAAAAGAAAAACAGCTGAGATGTAACGAAGCTTCATAATGAAGTAAACATAGCTTTACAATGAGGTAAACGAAACCCAAACAAGGGTATCTGAATTGAGTCAGCTCGAAAAGTAAGATCATGGAACCAATACTTTTCAGAGGCAACATCCGAGCAAATGAAAACCAAGATCTCCACTGTAGATCGGAGCACAACTGGTAACTGCAAAATGTCAAAGGAAATCCCAAGAAAACCCCAAAAGAGTTACTGAAAAACATAGAGGACACCATGCCAGATTCGGAAGATGACTTCAAATTACTTGATGAATACACGACAGATCTCAAATCCGGTGGATTGGAGGGTCTGGTGTGACTGGCAAAGTAGGAACAAGGATTCCAACGCACTTGCAAGAGAGCCTGCAGAAAAGGCGGAAGACAGCGAATCTCACGGAAACCCGAAATAAGAGAAGAGATACCAACAAAAAGGAAGAGGGGAAAACGGAGAAAAATTCTCACCAACGAGCGAGGCTTGCCAACGACGACGGCTAAATTTATAAAACCATAATCGCTTATAAAAAAAACGATTATTTTTTATGAATATAGTTCTCTCCAAAAATTCACCTAAATTTTTTTATTATTTTATGATTACTATTAATTTATTGAATAATAAAATTGGAAAAATGCATAGTACTTTAAATAAGAGTGGAGTTGTAAATACTCAAAAGAGATGTAACAGAAGCAACAGCAAGATCAATGTTAGTGAGCGCAATCTCATCCAGCAATTGAAATATTTCGTTGTCTCAAATAATGTTCAATCTTTAACAGATTAAAAACAATTCTACACCAATGCACAACATAAATGAAAAAAACGGACAACGCAAAGAAAGTTTTAAACGCGTCTATAAACCGCCAAATCAAATCAGCAGTTTCCCATTTTTTTCTCATAATACAACAACATTCTTCAGACTATACTTGGAGGATCTCCAGTCCAGCTACAAGCAGCTCTCGACCACCTGGTTCTAATACAATCCACCAACGGTGCATGCTGTACCGGTTTAGGCTGGTTCACTTCTGAATCTTTCCCAGAGCTGCTGCTCGGCATTGCACATGACATGTACTCCTCTGGTGTCCATTTAGGAGGAACAGAGACGTTTAGTTTCGTGAGCCGCGGCCTTTGCATAGGAACCATAGTCCCACCTTCCACGGCCATCGCTTGACCACCACCGTTTAAATCGGATTTCGCAATCCCGTTGAAATGAAAGATATCAAACACTTTCTTCCCCATCATCCCTGTTGAATCTTTTATTCCTCCCAAGTTCCGGTCTAACTCCAAGATCACTTGCCATAACTCGCTCCACACGATGAACCCCGTGGCAGAGATATCGTTCATCTTCTCTGTTGGGAGTCTAATGTTTGTTTCTTGAACAACTTGGTGGAAAGCCTCCACGCTGATGAATCCTCCTCCTCCGCTTTGGTCTCTTGCGTCGAAAGCTCTTCTTATCTGAGACTCTCTAAGCTCAAGCTCGTTTTCTTCTTGCACGGATGGATCGAGTGCAAACAGGACGGTGTAATGTGATTCGCTGCCAATAACCCATATTGGCCACCTGGGACATTTGAGATTCTGACCTACTTTGCAGAAATTGAGAGACTCGAGCAATGTGAGGAAGCCCACCTCCACGTTCTTGGATATTCCTTTTAGGAACATGCCGCCTCCAAGATCCATCCTTCCATCAAACACGTTTGGAACCGCTTCTCCACACAACAACAGGTTTACAATTTCCTGATAAAAAAAAGTATATAGATAAAGAAACAAGTTACGGACAAGTCTAGATTATGAAATGTGTTCGTTCAACTACCTGGGAGGCATGTCCAAATGGTGCAGTGACTAAGGGGAGGTCTGGATCATCTCTATCGGTTTGAACGGTGTCCTGTTCATGACAAAATATTCATTTATGGCTACAACAATAGAAATTCAATTACTATGGACAATTGTCGCTATTTCAAACATTCATAGACCAAAACAAGGAGGTTAATTATAATCTAGAGAATTGAAATGAATAATCTATATACAAAATCTACCATAATGATCGACTCTGAAACTTGATGCTTTGATTCTGTTGATATCAGAAATCAACATCTTGCTTTATTTCTTTCTGAAAGACAGAATTTAAGAATAATCTAGAAACCTAAACCAAAGAACCTAAACTTCATACGCATTTTTCTACTTATACTCCATGTATAAAATGCTGATGCAGTATTGTTAAAGATATGATCAGATTCACGCTTCTAATTGTTAGATACACAGCAAAACTAGCTAGCCCTATCAATTGAGAGTTTTCTCTATATTATGTAAATTCTCTTTTCTGGCAGTAACTCAGAAGTAAGAATTACATGACCAAATCAATGGATTCCAAGTCGGTCAAAAAACTTAACCCACTGAAACATCAATTCAACCCCTAAGTATTCCTTCTTGTACACATGTTAACCAAATATTAAAGCATAATAAAAAATTAAGGTTGTGTCGATACCAGTCCACGGGAGAGTAAAGCAGAAATGAGGAATAGCAAAGCACCCATGCCACTTTGGAAAGAAGTTATTGCGCCTTCTAGCTTATTAAGGGCATTGGATTGAGATGTGAATGTCTCAAATCTCAAGATCTTCTGCAAATCCGAAGCAGACTCAATGGGAAGCCTACCACCCATTGCCTGCCAATAATATTTAGAAGGAATCATCTAAGAGTCCAATGACTGCCAACCATTACTATGAAGAACTCGTAAAGTTTGACTAACCTCCTCTTTCTGATTAGTAATGGAATCATCAGGATTACTGAAACTCGCTATTACAGCACGATTATTGTTACCGCACATGAATAGAATCTCACACATGCTCCTGACAAGGGCCCTGAAAAAGCAGGGAAATACAATGACAAATGCTTAAAACTAAACCGTGATAACTGAAATTCCGATGTGAATCATACAGTCTTAACAAACCATCTGAGAAAAATCACCTTGTTTTTGCTTCTTCAAGTACAGAAGAGAAAGAGTCTGACGCAACATAACGATTTTCAGAAGATTTATCTATGTCATCAGGAAAGTAAAGAAGGTATTTCAGAACATATGCCTACACAGAAAATTGAACGGTCAGCATCAACTGTAACTGTAAGAATGTTCACATGCTAAAGACAGCCATCAACTACATTTTACTCAGACAACAGATCAGAACAAGAAAAGCAAGATAATTACTTGTAGTGCAGCTAAAACACCGCAGGGCCCACCTTCATGCTGCACTAAGCCTATAGTAGTTTCAGGATCAGGGCTAAACCTAAAAAAGTGTAGTCAAAACATTAGTCATATAATTAAATATGATAAATGATGTTTAAATTCCAGATAAAAGCGAGTTACAGATATGACAGTATAGGATATTACATTTCACAACATATACCACAATATGGAGAAATTACTGAGCATCAAGGATACAAATGAAAATTCAAGTAATTAAAAGTCCAGTGGGGAACTTTATTTCATTGAAGAAACAATAAGACATGTCTGACAGGAAAAGACTATGGAACACGACCACAATTATATTGGATCTACATACGAGAAGACAAATTTCTGATTTCTGAAATTAGAGTTGAACAATATACAATCACAAACATTATAATCAAGCATTTAAACTGTGTTCCCAGTTATAGCCATCAAAATTCAATTGCATTTCACTACAGCGTTTTTTCTAGAACATTTCGATTCTGATAGGTATGCAGCAATGGCATTCTGAAGTTTGTTTTATATATGACTGATTTGGTATGTTTGTGAAAAAAACTAAGAGAATGTAATATCTAAGGGATAATGGGTGTGTTTTTTACCAATATGGGTATGCTTTATCTTGGGTTATAATCAGATTTCTTCCAAGGGACCAGAGGGTTCATCTCTTGTTGCGAATACTCTGTATTCCTAGTCGGCAAAGCTCCGCCGATGGCAGCAAGTTTTGCATTTGGGGAGTTTAAATTTGCTTTTCTCTACATTTTCTATCAAAGTAGTTAGTCTATTTCCTCTTTGACTCTTTACTCTATCTAAACGTGAAATGGAAGGCCAAACTGTGAAAAGCTCAATGAGAAGAATCCAAAGGAAATGCAAGCCGGCTGAATACCAGCGTTGTGTAAACCGATATTGATACAAATACCTTAAACGACCATAAGTGACACTCTTAATCTATAAGGGCTTGGCTTGGATCCAATTCGCATCCGTTAACTAGTCGTCATTAACCATTTAAATCACAACTAATTATGACAAATTCTTTCTCTTCTAAGAAACATATCCATTTAGTATAACATGGCAGAAACAATCTAAGACTCTCCAACTATCTAATAAGATCATATACTTCTCAAACTCTCCAACTATTTAAGATTGACTGATTGAGGAAAACTTCGAATCCAAAGAATGAACTTCTAATATCCTTCTATATGAAATGTACACCATAATCGAGATGCCAAATACACTAAAGCTAATCTAAAAGCACCGAAATTTCAATCAAACTTCACCGTTAAAAGCAGGCGAATTTGGATCAATCCAAAAATGAAGTAAGCTAAGAAAAGAAAACACAAACGCTGATGAATAGTACCTTATGCCTTGATTAGTCCACTGTGCAAGGATACTTCTCGAGACGTCATTCCCAAACACCATAGTGAACAACTGGGCAGAATCTTCCGGCGATAACTTCTTCCCGGAAGAATCAACACCAACACCATCACCGTCACCAGATCCCAACTCTTTATCGAACTTCACAGGTTCTTCACCAACCGTAATTGGCGAAGCCAAAGCTCTGGGCTTAGCTTGAGCAGGAGGGCTTTTAGGAAACACCATCATCCGTTTCTCCGCCGCGGCAGCCATGATCTCTCGCTGCAACCGCCGGCTTTTGGCCTCCGGCGATTCGCCGGATGAACCACCGAATTGAGATCCGGATCCAGTTTCTTCAATTGGTTTGCTACGTTTCGGCTCCGGGGGATTGTGTTGCATACTCATTTTAAGAGCCAGTTTCAAATCTTCGTCCTCTTGATGATCCGCCATTGAAACTTGCCGCGTCCAAAGATCGCAGATTTGTGGAGAGAAGATGCTCAATACTTTCGCAATGTAAAAAATAGACTTTGATGTCTTTACAAAATCATAAATAGATGAAATTGAAGATTGTACAGGTTATGATTTTAGCGGTTTCAGGGAGAAAACGTAATCCGAATCTGCTAGATGAATAACAAAATAATTACATGTGGCAGAAGGGATAATCATAATGTATTTGGTGAATCAATAAGAGAGAAAATTTTCCAAATTTGGTTGGGCATCGACGAATTTAGGGTTCTCTTCTGATTTCAAACGATTTTAGGGCAAATAGACTCAAGAAAGGAAAGAATGTGGAAAACTTTTAAATCAGCTTATTATCAATATCGTCTTTTTCATCCGTTTTTTTTTTAATTCGTTGAGTGGTCAAATCTTTTTTAGTCAAGAGGTGGTCAGTTTTTGTGGATTCGAAGGCACATCAGTTCAGCGGATTTGACACTTTGTTCGTTCTTTGTGCACGCAGATTCAACCCCATATCCTCAAGTCGGTTTAAAGATTGTGAGTACGAGCGTTAGCGCGAGCATGAACATATACTAAACCCTAAATTTAGATGAAAATTCTCTAACGATTCTTCTGTGGATTTGAAAATTGTTTTAAAATTTTTAAAAATAAATAAATAAATAATAATAATAAATTAAATAAATTCCAAAACTTAGTTGGATCAGTCCAAAAATAGTTTGTAATGCTGGAAAAATTCAATCGGGAATTTCAACGAGCTCGCTATAACATTCTTTAAGCAATATTCGATCTTCATCGAAAAATGAGAATTCGAAACCGACCTCTGAAAGCTAATCCAAGCTCCAGATAAACCACTTCGATCATATATCGCCAAATTCAAGGCGATCAAAACAAAAATTGCAAACCCTAACGAAACAGTAGCCCTGCTCTTCCTCGAAATCAACTTATGGTACAAATCAAAGTTCAAGGAAGAGCTCATGCTTCGACCTACGGACTTACTCGACAATGTGCGGTATCGCTAACTTCGAGGACGAAACGTCCCCCGCGAAGCAAAATACCGTAATGAACAGCTATATCTCGTACCCTCCGGATCGAAGAAAGCAAATGTTCCACCTCTCAAAAGGGAGTCGCAGAGCAAAGGTCAGCATTCCTATCTCATAGAGAGCTTGTCCCGTGAAGTCGAGAAGGCCGAGGGAAAAAGCAAAAAGCCTAAAAAGACCTCGACCAAAAACAAGGATGAGGACCACGACAAGGCATCTCAAAAGCGATATCACGAAGTCAAAGTCGAAGTTCAAACTCCAGATTCTCCTCCTTCGGCGAGAAAAAGAATCAACCTGATTTTCAGTGAGCTAAGCCTTTGCGGCAGGTTAATGAAAGGCACATCGATTCAGCGGATTTGACACTTTGTTCGTTCTTTGTGCACGCAGATTCAACCCCATATCCTCAAGTCGGTTCAAAGATTGTGAGTGCGAGCGTTAGCGCGAGCGTGAACATTTACTAAACCCTAAATTTAGATGAAAATTCTCTAACGATTCTTCTGTGGATTTGAAAATTGTTTTAAAATCTTTAAAAATAAATAAATAAATAATAATAATAAATTAAATAAATTCCAAAACTTAGTTGGACCAGTCCAAGAATAGTTTGTAATGCTGGAAAAATTCAATCGGGAATTTCAACGAGCTCGCTATAGCATTCTTTAAGCAATATTCGATCTTCATCGAAAAATGAGAATTCGAAACCGACCTCTGAAAGCTAATCCAAGCTCCAGATAAACCACTTCGATCATATATCGCCAAATTCAAAGCGATCAAAACAAAAATTGCAAACCCTAACGAAACAGTAGCCCTGCTCTTCCTCGAAATCAACTTCTGGTACAAATCAAAGTTCAAAGAAGAGCTCATGCTTCGACCTACGGACTTACTCGACAATGTGCGGTATCGCTAACTTCGAGGACGAAACGTCCCCCGCGAAGCAAAATACCGTAATGAACAGCTATATCTCGTACCCTCCGGATCGAAGAAAGCAAATGTTCCACCTCTCAAAAGGGAGTCGCAGAGCAAAGGTCAGCATTCATATCTCATAGAGAGCTCGTCCCGCGAAGTCGAGAAGGCCGAGGGAAAAAGCAAAAAGCCTAAAAAGACCTCAACCAAAAACAAGGATGAGGACCACGACAAGGCATCTCAAAAGCGATATCACGAAGTCAAAGTCGAAGTTCAAACTCCAGATTCTCCTCCTTCGGCAAGAAAAAGAATCGACCTGATTTTCAGTGAGCTAAGCCTTTGCGGCAGGTTAATGAAAGGCACATCGGTTCAGCGGATTTGACACTTTGTTCGTTCTTTGTGCACGCAGATTCAACCCCATATCCTCAAGTCGGTTCAAAGATTGTGAGTGCGAGCGTTAGCGCGAGCGTGAACATATACTAAACCCTAAATTTAGATGAAAATTCTCTAACGATTCTTCTGTGGATTTGAAAATTGTTTTAAAATCTTTAAAAATAAATAAATAAATAATAATAATAAATTAAATAAATTCCAAAACATAGTTGGACCAGTCCAAGAATAGTTTGTAATGCTGGAAAAATTCAATCGGGAATTTCAACGAGCTCGCTATAGCATTCTTTAAGCAATATTCGATCTTCATCGAAAAATGAGAATTCGAAACCGACCTCTGAAAGCTAATCCAAGCTCCAGATAAACCACTTCGATCATATATCGCCAAATTCAAGGCGATCAAAATAAAAATTGCAAACCCTAACGAAACAGTAGCCCTGCTCTTCCTCGAAATCAACTTCTGGTACAAATCAAAGTTCAAGGAAGAGCTCATGCTTCGACCTACGGACTTACTAGACAATGTGCGGTATCGCTAACTTCGAGGACGAAACATCCCCTACGAAGCAAAATACCGTAATGAACAGCTATATCTCGTACCCTCCGGATCGAAGAAAGCAAATGTTCCACCTCTCAAAAGGGAGTCGCAGAGCAAAGATCAGCATTCATATCTCATAGAGAGCTCGTCCCGCAAAGTCGAGAAGGCCGAGGGAAAAAGCAAAAAGCCTAAAAAGACCTCGACCAAAAACAAGGATGAGGACCACGACAAGGCATCTCAAAAGCGATATCACGAAGTCAAAGTCGAAGTTCAAACTCCAGATTCTCCTCCTTCGGCGAGAAAAAGAATCGACCTGATTTTCAGTGAGCTAAGCCTTTGCGGCAGGTTAATAAAATCAGTAATCCCCCCCCCCCCCCCCCCCCCGCACCAAGGAAACTGTCGAGCAGCTCATCCAAGCTCCATAAGGTCGCCGGGGGAAGCGTGCGTAAGCTACTTGGTAGCTCATCAAAACCGATCTTCAACCAACTCTCGACACCTCAAATTAAAGTGTGTTTTAGCTCACGCACAGCTCAAAGATGTGCCAAGATGTGCCAAGATTCAATCAACTCGATCAAGGCATATCAACGCAAGGTCGAGTCCGCCACTGTGAACCTACCCTAGACGGACCCGACCACCAAATAAATTTTCTAGAAAGTGAAACGTTATCTCTGGACAAACCGCATGATGACGCACTTGTCATCTAGATCGCTATAGGCGGTTTTGACCTCATAAGGGTCATGATCGATACTGATAGCTCGGTAGATGTGCTGTTCTTCGACGCTTTCAGAAGCATAGGATACCAAATATCCATGCTGTCGAACGATCGAACTCCACTCACCGGCTTCGCCGGAGAAACCACCTATTCATTAGGAACCATCCAGCTCCCAGTCAAAGCTGGTGGTCCCATAAATACAATTGACTTGTGGTCGTAGACCGCCCATCTTCATTTAACGCCATACTTGGCAGACCCTGGCTCTATGCAATGAAAGTTGTAGCTTCCACATACCACCAATGCGTCAAGTTTCCAACCCCTCGGGGCACCAAAACGATATGTGGCTCCCAAGGATCCTCGAGAGATTGCTACATGGACATCTTCTTGCGGGCCAAGAAAGCTCATGTATAGCAATTACAGAAAGAGGAGGAGCTTGCAGTTCAGCAACTTAAACACAACAAAGACCCTTCTGTCTGCGAACCTCAAACAGAATTAATCGAGCAAGTATGCATAGACGAGGCCAACCCCGAAAGGTGTGTTGGCATCGGCGTCGATCTCGTGAAAACAATTCACGACAAGTAATTGATTTCCTAAAAGAAAACATAAGCACTTTCGCATGGTCCACCGTGAACATGTCGGGAATCGATACAAAGGTCACTGCACACGAACTCAACATCGACCCAACTATCAAACCCGTCAGACAAAAATGCCGCAAGCTCGGTCCAGATCAAGCTAAAGCAGTAAATTATGAGGTAGATAGACTACTCAAAGTGGGATCAATCAGGGAGGTTAAATACCCCTTCTGGTTGGCAAACCATGTGGTCGTCAAAAGAAAAATGGAAAGTGGAGAGTCTGCGTAGACTTTACCGATCTAAACAAGGCATGTCCGAAAGACAGCTTTCCACTTCCACACATCGACCGCCTGGTCGAAGCTACAGCTGGCCACCAGCTCTTGTCCTTCATGGACACCTTCTCTGGATATAATCAAATCAAGATGAATCCAGAAGACCAAAAGAAAACAGCTTTCATTACCGACCGAGGTACATACTGCTACAAATTAATGCATTTTGGCCTGAAAAATGCAGAAGCAACCTATCAACGGCTCGTGAACAAAAATGTTCGCGGATCAGCTCGGCAAGACTATGGAAGTGTACATCGATGATATGCTAGTTAAGTCTTCCAAAGACTCAGACCATGTCGCCCAGCTCAGGGAATGCTTCAAAATCTTAAACCAATATGAGATGAAGCTCAACCCAACCAAATGTACCTTCAGAATCGCCTCAGGTGAATTCCTCGGTTACCTAGTGACCGAACGAGGGATTAAGGCGAACCTGAAGCAAATCAAGGCATTCCTCGAAATGCCACCTCCCAGAATAACTAGGGAAGTACAACGCCTAACCGGTCGTGCTGCCGCCCTCAAACGTTTCATGGTTAACTAACAAGTGTCTCCCATTTTACCAGCTCTTCAAAGGAAACAAAAAATTTCAGTGGTACAAGATATGCAAGGAGGCATTAACCCAACTTAAAACTTACTTCACCGAGCCTCCTATCTTGGCTAAGCCGGTCGAAGGAGAACCTCTATACCTCTACATAGCGGTCTCTCCAGTTGCAGTAAGCGGCCTCTTAGTCGAGAGGAATTCAACGAGCAGAAACCAAACTTTTACGTAATAAAACTCTTATCGATGTCGAGACAAGGTATCCAGCTATGGAAAAACTAGCAGTAGCTGTAGTAATGTCAGCTCGCAAGCTTCGACCTAACTTTCAGTCACACTCAATCGTGGTAATGACCTCGAAACCTTTACGAACTATACTCCAAGTCCGAGCCAATCAGGACGCCTAACGAAATGGGCCA